ATATATCAAGGTTTCCGTCTAGGACGACGAGGAAAGACGTACCACCCTTGAAGGAGGTGAAACCTGGAATCTCTGATGACAGTAGTATTACCATACCACTCACTTTGAATGGAACTCCGATTCAAGCTGTCGTGGATACAGCAGCCACTATGACGCTGATTAAGCTGGAGCTGGTAGGTAATCTCGAGGGGCCACAAGTGCTTGGGAAACGAGTGAGGCTCCTGGGTTTAACTGGCAATGTGGAAATAGTGTGGGAAATAAAAGACCTACATATCGGAATAGGAAACACTGAAGTACCTTGGACAGTATGTGAGGCCCCCATCATGGACGACATGTTGCTGGGGGTGGATTTCCTGTCACGGAACAACTGTGTCATCGACCTAGAGGCGGGCGTCCTGTTCATTGGTAACCAGGCAATACCTATTACACCGAGGGTAGAGGATCAGAGGACATCTTTCGCTCTCAAGCTGGCCCAAAATTTATTCATGCTGCCAAACACTGTCCGGGTGACTGGGCTAGACCTAATGGGGGTACGGCCACGACTCAACCCATACAAGATCCCGGGGGAGTCATGATTGATAATGAGAGTGATGAATAACACTGCCAAGGACAGAAATTTGGAGAGAAAGAACATGTAGAGGTGATAACCCATCTCCACAGAGAAGCCCGGAGCTGTTATACAGCAGACATGGTTCATGGGAAAGGCCAGAGTACCTACGGGGACAACAGGGTTATCGAGCAAATAGAGGCCATCCCTCAACTTACCAGGGAAGCTCCTGTCTATAATGAGATGGACAAAATTCCCAGGGAGAGCTAGAGGCCAGTGATGGTCTCGAAGGAGCCACAGGACACAGTCATCCCGCGGGAGCTAACTGTGAACGGTTTGAGGAGGACGTGGACAGTATGGTACCACTGACATACAAGGACCATACTCCTGGTCCTCAACAAAGTAAGCATATAGATGTGCCACAAACAGTGGGGCTCAAAATTGAAAGAGATGAGGCGGTAACACCAAAATCTGCCTCATTTCCATTTGACGGGGAAGAGGTAACGGAAACTTGTGTTCCCTCCATCATCAAATGTTTCAAACCAAATGTGACGTCATCAAATAATGACAAGAAAGAAATCAATGACCAGGAGTTACATGCAGTGGTTGGGTTTGCCCAGGGAGGACAACAGAACAAGTATGGAAACACAGTGTGTGTCCATCAGATCCATTTCATCAATGATGGTGTAATCTGTGACCTACTTTCAAGGTCACAGGGGTCAAATGTCGTAAAATTTTCAAACGACTTCTTCTCAATAACCAAAAGGCCCAGGGTACTGATATTGGGCCTGTAGCATGCTGAAATGAAGGGCTACCTAGTTTGTTCAAATGAATGACCTTGACCCACTTTCCAGGTCACAATGGTAAAATGACTTAAAAACTTCAAACGACTTCTCCTCAATAACCAAAAGGCCCAGGGTACTGATATTGGGCCTGTAGCATGCTGGAATAAAGGACTATCACGCTTGTTCAAATTAATGACCTTGACCCACTTTCCAGGTCACAAGGGTAAAATGACTTAAAAACTTCAAACGACTTCTCCTCAATAACCAAAAGGCCCAGGGTACTGATATTGGGCCTGTAGCATGCTGGAATGAAGGACTACCACGCTTGTTCAAATAAATGACCTTGACCAACTTTCAAAGTGACATGGGTCAAATGTCTTAAAATCTTCAAACAACTTCTTCTCAATAACCAAAAGGCCCAGGGTACTGATATTGGGCTGTAGCATGCTGGGATGAAGGACTACCAAGTTTGTTCAAATGAATGACCTTGACCTATTGTCAAGGTCACAGGGGTCAAATGTCGTAAAAATTTCAAAAGACTTCTTCTCAATAACCAAAAGGCCCAGGGTACTGATATTAGGCCTGTAGCATGCTGTAATGAAGGGCTACCAAGTGTGTTCAAATAAATGACCTTGACCCACTTTCAAGGTCACAGGGGTAAAATGACTTAAAAACTTAAAACGACTTCTCCTCAATAACGAAAAGGCCCAGGGTACTGAAATAGGGCCTGTAGTATGCTGGGATGAAGGGCTACCAAGTTTGTTCAAATGCATAAAAATTGATAACTGAAGTTTGAAGGATTCATGTATTACAATATTTATTTACAGTGAGATTGTTGTTTTATGACACAATGTTAATTACTCCCCCACCGGTCCCTGGAGGGGGTATATAGAAATTGATTTAAGTTCCATGCTGTTACCATTAACATAATCATACAAAGAAGTGTATACTGACATATGACCCATGGTAAATCCTAGTTGACCTAAAGACATTTGTGACACACTTGCACTTCTGCTGGTCTGTAGGAAATATATGTTTCACCCTCTACCAATAGGCACAAAGGAGATATTGCAACAGTCATATAATTATTTTGTTTGTCCGGCAATCTCCTCCTACATTTTTCGACCGATCTATTTGAAACCTGGTATACATTATAATCATGATATGAAGTTGTGTCTCCCTTTAAAAGAATTTTGATTCGACAATTTTTCCAAAAGTTATTGCCCTTTGTTCATTTCAGTATTTGATTTTTGTCCGGAGATCTCCTCCTACATTTCTCAACCGATCTCTTTGAAACTTGGTATACATTATAACCATGATATGAAGTTGTGTCTCTCTCAAAAGAATTTTGATTCGATAATTTTTCCAAAAGTTATTGCCCAATTGTTGTCCGAAGATTTTCTCCCACTTTTTTATAGCACATCAGCTAACCACTCTTAGAATGATGCAGATCTTATTTCAATGAAAGAAAGTATATAACACTATATGGCATTCAACGGTCGTATTTTGTTCCGCCCCGCGGTACTCTTGTTAACAAAGTTATGGCCCTTTGTTGAAAAATCCTTGTCCGGACATGTCCTCCAAAAATAAGGAGTCAATTTCAAAGAAAGTTTTCAGATATGATAACTGCCCCCTGACATTGTGAATCAAAGTAGGTGTGTTTTTATTCCGACTCCTTAAAAAGGAGTTAGGGCCCTTTGTTGAAAAAAAGTTTGTCTGCCTCATAAACTATTGGGCCGATTTTAATGAAAAATTACAGATATGGTAAATATCCCCCGATGTCGTGCATCAGGGTAGTATTTTTTCATTTCGACACTTTTTAAGGAGTTATGGCCCTTTTGCAAAAATCATTGTCTTGACATTACTCTTCCTCAACTACTAGGACGATTTCAGCAAAACTGGTTTATCTGGGCTAACAAGATTTGGTGTGCAAGTATGTTTTGGCATGGGGAGGGAGTACAGGAAGTATATCAGTGACCTTTATACTTAAATGATCACTGGTGGAGACTATGGATTGCTTAAATCCTTAGTTAGCCTTTCGCTTACAGTTCTAGTTTATATAGGAGCTGGGGGGTATTAGTTAGCCTTTGGCTTACAGTTCTACTTATTACTTTTGCCTATTGCCCATTCATTAAAGTGGAAAGAAAGCTATGTTTTTCTTTTTTTTTATTCAAAAGTGTTATATGACAACTTTACTGGTTGTCATTTTTTTTGAAATTCCTCATGTTGAAAGATATTACTGGTAGCCAACTTTTAAGCAAGTATGAAAATTAGACTTGTTTTAGAACTATGTAAATTTATCTGTCAAAAACGGAAATTTTCTCATTAGTAAAAGACATTTCACATACTTGTCTGCTTAAATCTTTAATAAAAAGAACAATTCTTTCTTGAAACAGTATTATATTCGGTATCAAAATAACAGTTGGAATATGTTGCACACGATGATGATATAATTTTATAGTAATTGTGTCATTTAAATGCTCTAGGAAGAATTGTATAACCATACCTTTAACACCCACACAGGTGTAAGTCAATGAGGTCCCATTTATCCTAAAATGAGTTCTGAAACTAACTGTACCTGATTTAAGCTTCCTATACCCATACCTTTTTGGATTTATCTTGTTTTGAAATTCCAAGCGGATGCCGACGCTAACATGAAATCTCCATAGGCGTTGACCTTACCTTTGTGGATTTACCAACTTAAGTCACATGATTCCCAACACTGATTCTGCCCGGTCACATAAAACTGACAATGGGTGATGTAATGGCAACCAGTTGTTGCCATTACCCTAAGTTGAGGGTACAAAATCAAATCCCCATTTCTGCAGGGGTTCCCCTATTAGTCGCCCCTTATGATACACACAGTGGGTAAGAGCAGGTTACTCGATCCCAAACCTGCAGGGGCTCAGTTGTCTTAAAAATAAGTCTTCAAAATAAAAAAAGGTTCAACCACCTCTTCGGAATAATACAGGTGATGATATTTTGCAAAACATACTAGGATGAAGGGCTTATGTCTTTGTCCAAATGTTTGACCTTGACTCATATTTAAGGTCACGGGGGTCATATATGTAAAATAAAAAAAATTAACACCACATCTTCAAATGCAAAGAATGGTGATATTTGGCCAGTAGCATGCGCAGGTGAAGAGCAATCAAATTTGTTCATGTGAATGACCTTGACCCTCTTGTAAGGTCACATGACCAAATAGGTATAAAACAAAAGTTTTAGGGTAGTGATATTTGGCAAGTTGTTAAATTGAATGAATTATTTAGACTTTAAAGGTCAAATATGCTTAAATCTTTTAACTGTTTCTTTTGCATGACTTAGATTCATAGATGCTGATATTTTGCCTGTAACTTTATTTTGGTCCACTTTTAAGTGTGAGATCAATACCAGGTGAGCAATGCTGGCCCATTTTGCCTATTAAAATTGAAGTTCATTATAAACTAAGTCAGACTGCTCAAGTGACCACACTCATAAAGACATCCCCTGTATAAGGAGTCCACTTGTTGGACATCCAAGGTGGTCTGTCAATACATGTCTGACTGTTCTGAGGCAGAACAACAGGTTTGACTAACATAAAAGACTGTTAAATAAACAAATGGACAGTTTGTCTGGACCAATCAGATTACGGGGGTTTTAAAGAACTGTATCTATTTTTGTTTTAGGTCACTGGCTCCAGCAGTAGGGGGAAGCATCTTTGCATGGTCTGTTGGATATGGTGCTGAGAAGCTGGGGCCACCATTTGATGTCAACCTGTCTTTCTTTTTCTTTGGCTTCGTTCTCTGGACTATGACCATATACAGCTTCTTCATCAGTGACAAATTGAATGTGCAGAAAAAGTAAACTGATATAATTAGAGTTAGAATTAGACTTATAATTTGATATTGCTGTGTTGTTGGTTGTCGTCACTGATATCACATTGAATTTATGCTAATATAATAGTCATACTGTATGTCCCCTTCAAAAGAATTGAGCTTGTAATATGTCTTTATTGGTACATGAAATATTTTTAATATTTTTGTTTGTCATATTGTTGATGCGTTTAAAAATAATAATAGAATTGTATTAATGAATTTCTTATCATTTATATCTTATTGGGTTATATTAATGTCTTGATAGGCAATATCAATGTGATATTGGATAGTATTATTAATATGTTCGTGAGTAGTATTATTGTCTTAAGGATTAACACTGTTCGTGTCTGACTGTATGATATATTGTATTTAAAAGTCTTGGAAAGATTTATTCATTGTCAGATCTTAATAAATACTTTTATCAATGTCAGGGATCATTTTATTTGTTGAACAATCAGAGGATTAAAAGTGAGTTCTGTGTGATAGAAGCTGGAATTATTTCTGTAATAGTATTTATTGTTGACTTGTATCAAATCATACATTGATGTTGTCTTTGAATATTCAACAGTGAATATTTGACTGTAATACTAGTCAGTATAAGACTGTGTTCACAGTCTACTTACTAGTTAGAATTGACTGTAGTACTAGTCAGTATAAGACTGTGTTCTCAGCCTACTTACTAGTTAGATTTGACTGTAATACTAGTCAGTATAAGACTGTGTCCACGGCCTACTTACTAGTTAGATTTGACTGTAGTACTAGTCAGTACAAGACTGTGTTCACAGCCTACTTACTAGTTAGAATTGACTGTAGTACTAGTCAGTACAAGACTCTGTTCACAGCCTACTTACTAGTTAGATTTGACTGTAATACTAGTGAGTATAAGACTGTGTTCACAGTCTACTTACTAGTTAGAATCGACTGTAGTACTAGTCAGTATAAGACTGTCACAGTCTACTTACTAGTTAGAATTGACTGTAGTACTAGTCAGTACAAGACTGTGTTCACAGCCTACTTACTAGTTAGATTTGACTGTAGAACTAGTCAGCATAAGACTGTTCACAGCCTACTTACTAGTTAGATTTGACTGTAATACTGGTCAGTATCAGACTGTGTTCACAGCCTACTTACTAGTTAGATTTGACTGTAAAACTTGTCAGTACAAGACTGTGTTCATAGCCTACTTACTAGTTAGATTTGACTGTAGAACTAGACGGTATAAGACTGTGTTCACAGCCTACTTACTAGTTAGGTTTGACTGTAAAACTAGTCAGTATCAGACTGTGTTCACAGCCTACTTACTAGTTAGATTTGACTGTATAACTAGTCAGTATAAGACTGTGTTCACAGCCTACATACTAGTTAGAATTGACTGTAATACTAGTCAGCATAAGACTTCACAGTCTACTTACTAGTTAGAATTGACTGTCGTTCTAGTCAGCATAAGACTGTTCACAGCCTACTTACTAGTTAGATTTGACTGTAGTACTAGTCAGTACAAGACTGTGTTCACAGCCTATTTACTAGTTAGATTTGACTGTAGTACTAGTCAGTATAAGACTGTGTCCACGGCCTACTTACTAGTCAGATTTGACTGTAGTACTAGTCAGTACAAGACTGTGTTCACAGCCTATTTACTAGTTAGATTTGACTGTAATACTAGTCAGTATAAGACTGTGTCCACGGCCTACTTACTAGTTAGATTTGACTGTAGTACTAGTCAGTACAAGACTGTGTTCGCAGCCTATTTACTAGTTAGATTTGACCGTAGTACTAGTCAGTACAAGACTGTGTTCGCAGCCTATTTACTAGTTAGATTTGACCGTAGTACTAGTCAGTACAAGACTGTGTTCGCAGCCTATTTACTAGTTAGATTTGACTGTAATACTAGTCAGTATAAGACTGTGTTCACAGCCTACGGGATGAAGGGCTACCAAGTTTGTTCAAATGAAAGACCTTGACCAATTTTCGTCTATGTTCACAGCCTACTTACTAGTTAGACTTGACTGTAGTACTAGTCAGTATAAGTCTATGTTCAGAGCCTACTTACTAGTTAGATTTGACTGTAATACTAGTCAGTATAAGACTGTGTCCACGGCCTACTTACTAGTTAGATTTGACTGTGTTCACAGCCTACTTACTATTTAGATTTGACTGTAGTACTAGTCAGTACAAGGCTGTGTTCACAGCCTATTTACTAGTTTGATTTGACTGTAGTACTAGTCAGTACAAGGATGTGTTCACAGCCTATTTACTAGTTTGATTTGACTGTAGTACTAGTCAGTATACGACTGTGTTCGTAGCCTTCTTACTAGTTAGATTCATGTCTGTTCATAATGGTGCTCTGAATTCTGAATTTGAATAATAGTATCAGACTGTGTTCACAGCCTACTTACTAGTTAGAATTGACTGTAATACTAGTCAGCATAAGACTTCACAGTCTACTTACTAGTTAGAATTGACTGTAATACTAGTCAGTATAAGACTGTGTTCACAGCCTACGGGATGAAGGGCTACCAAGTTTGTTCAAATGAAAGACCTTGACCAATTTTCGTCTATGTTCACAGCCTACTTACTAGTTAGGTTTGACTGTTATACTAGTCAGTATAAGACTGTGTTCACGGCCTACTTACTAGTTAGATTTGACTGTAATACTAGTCAGTATAAGACTGTGTCCACGGCCTACTTACTAGTTAGATTTGACTGTAGTACTAGTCAGTATAAGACTGTTCACAGCCTACTTACTAGTTAGATTTGACTGTAGTACTAGTCAGTATACGACTGTGTTCGTAGCCTACTTACTAGTTAGATTCATGTCTGTTCATAATGGTGCTCTGAATTCTGAATTTGAATAATATCCATGTAGAGCTATTAACCAAAGTATCATTTTTTAGTGATGGTGCATTGTTTAAGTTGGATGTGAGAGTAATTGTTTTAGAAAAACCCAGTATGAAACCATGTAGTGGCCAAAATAGAAGGCACAGTGTTTGATTTAGTACATAATGTAGATCACATGACATTGAATTATTGCATTTGTGAATGAAAACAAATATATTGATTATTTCATACATGCCAAAAATATGAATAATAAAGTACCAAGATAATAAAGGATATATATGCAATATATATGGTTTAATTGTTTACTTGCAATAGACAGAAATGTCAAACTTTAATATAAGACAGGAAATGAAGACATGATATGCCTTAGGACTATTGTTAGACAGGTATTTGGATTATATAGGTTTTACTGAAATTATTGAATTTGAGAAAAAGAGAATTGAAATATTGGTTTTGTTATTTATGTGGCATTAAGGCCATATGGTACTTTACACTTCATACCTGTAATTCTTATTGTCTCCTTTAACATATTTTTAGTTTTTAGCTCACTTGGTCCGAAGGGCCAAGTGAGCTTATCCCATGGCGCAGCGTCCGGCGTCCGGCTACTTTTTCCTTTAAAACGCTACTGGTCCTGAACGACTCAGAGGATTTTGACCAAAGTTGGTCTGGAGCATCATTTGCCAAAGGGTTCTTAGTTTTGTATAAACGGAGGGTATGGCCCCCCTGGGGGCAGAAGGGCGGGGCCAAATAGGAGGGAAATAGGTAAATCTGTAAAAATCCTCTTCTTCTCAACCAATAGAAGGATTTTGACCAAATTTGTTCTAGAGCATCTTTGAACAAAGGAGCCTCAAGCTTGTATAAACGGAGGATGTGGCCCCTCTGGGGGCATAGGGACGGGGCGCCCAATAGGGGAAATAGAGGATTTGTTTCTCCTACTATACAAGTGAAGGGATTTAAACCAAATGCAGTCTGAAGCATGCTTAGGGACAAAATAATCAATTTTGTATAAACTGAGGTGTGTGCACCCCCTTCTTTGGAGCAGATGAGTGGGGCCCATTAGGGGAAATAGAGGAAAATATTAAAGATCCTTCTCCTTCTGTACCATTGAAGGGATTTTAACCAAACTTCTTATTCTAGAGAATCTTTGGGCAAAGGGGACTAACTTCTGTATAAACAGGGGTTGCTGCCCCTTTGGGTGCAGAGAGATGGGGCCCAGAAGGGGAATTAGATGTTTAAATCTTCAAAATCATCTCTCCTTCAGTATGATTGGAGTTATTTTAACCGAATTTGGTCCAGAGCATAATTTTGCAAGGGGGACTCTATTTGTTTTAACAGAGTGTAGTCCCCCTGGGAGCAAAGGGGAATGGTGCAGGAGAGAAGAGTAATAAATGTTTAAAATCATTTTCCTTCAGTTTATTTGGAGGGTTTTAACCAAATTTTGTGTAGAGCAAACCTTGGGCAAAGGGGACTAAATTTTGTATAAATAGGTGGTTGCTTTAAAGGGGCAGAGGGGAAATCGAGGTTAATCCACCCCAATTTATGGGGGCAGAAAGAAGGGACCTAATGAGGAATGGGTGTTGCTGAGCGACTGAGCCAAAATTTGGAAATAGTTGCAGTAATAACAATAATTTTGCATGATTGCTTTATTATCCAGGTGAGTGATACAGGCCATCATGTTTATAATATCCAGAATGTATTGAACGACCCCATTTGGAGGTTTCCCTGTAGCTAAAGTAATGAAGCAAGTAGACAAAATGTTTTGACTGATTTTAGTATAGAACTCTTTTGGAAGCAAGTTACATGTCTCACAATTAAGGTAATGATTGTCCTTAAAAAAGATTCCAGAAGTGTAAACTGCTATTGTCAAACTTTGTCGTGACAATCCTATCCGACAAGGCATGTTTCTAACCAGACAAATAGTCCATCCAACCTTAATATTCATACAAACATTGCCTAATTTTATTGTTTTTAGCTCACCTGGCCCGAAGGGCAAAGTGAGCTTATGGCATGGTGCGGCGTCCGGCGTCCGGAGTCAAGATTTTACTTAAAACAACTTCTTCTCAATAACCAAGAGGCCCATTAGGTATTTGGCAAGTAGCCTGCTGGGATGAAGGGCTACCAAGTTTGTTCAAATGAAAGACCTTGACCAATTTTCAAGGTGACATGGGTCAAATGTCTTTAACTCTTCAAACAACTTCTTCTCAATAACCAAAAGGCCCAGGGTACTGATATTGGGCCTGTAGTATGCTGGAATGAAGGCCTACCAAGTTTGTTCAAATGAATGACCTTGACCAATTTTCAAGGTTACAGGGGTCAAATGTCGCAAAATGTTCAAATGACTTATTCTCAATAACCAAAAGGCCCAGGGTACTGATATTGGGCCTGTATCATGCTGGATGAAGGGCTACCAACTTTTTTCAACTAAATGACCTTGCCCAACTTTCAAGGTCACAAGGATCAAATATTTTAAAATCTTCAAACAACATCTCAATAACCAAAAGGCTCAGGGTACTGATATTGAGCCTGTAGCATGCCGGGATGAAGGGCTACCAAGTTTGTTCAAATGAATTACCTTGACCAACTTTCAAGGTTACAGGGGTCAAATATGTTAAAATCTTCAAATGACTTCTCAATAACCAAAAGGCCAAGGGTACTGATATTGGGCCTGTGGCATGCTTGGATGAAGTGCTACCAATTTTGTTCAAATGAATGACCTTGACCCACTTTCATGGTCACAGGGGTAAAATGTCTTAAAATCTTTAAACGACTTCTTCTCAATAACCAAAAGGCCCAGATTACTGATATTTGGCCTGTACCATGCGTGGATGAAGGGCTACCAAGTTTGTTCAAATGAATGACCTTTACCAACTTTCAAGGTTACATATTTTTCCGTCACATGTACAGGTTATGTAGCTGTAGCCTTCACCTTGAATGTATGAACTTGACCTTATGTTAAAACTGTTTTGTACAATTGATGAATGGAATTTTGAAATGAAGTTTCAAGAAATATGATTGAAAACTTTAGAAATAATTGCTTTCACTGACATAGCCAAGACACAATCTTGTGTGGGTTCCTCTCATATATATTATAACTTTTTTCCGATTTTATTGATATTCATAAGCGTTGTTAAAGGTACAATGTATACCAGGGATCTTATATTTCTTCAAATTTTCTCCCACCACCCATAGTGTTATATTGATCAAAACCAGCGTAGTTTCCGACATTAGTGCCTTTAGTCAGTAGGAGCTGTTCAATCACATTCATCAGGCTTTCAGCATCAATATTCGCAGATTCAATCTGTCCCATCACTGACTTTGCAAGGAAAGCATTGGAACTATTCTCTGTTGGAAGGGTCTATGGACTCGTCTGTCATGAGTCTGAGAGAAAATGATATAGCTTTGTAAAGTGAAGTCAAGAGGTTCCTGCTCTATTCAGTAACTGACAGACTTCAAAATGTCATGTCACTGTTGGTACAGTTCTTGCACCCTTTTGAAAAAGCTCATGAAGTCCTCAAAGGTATGAGAGAGGGGGTTCAGTTCCTGTTTCTCATCCTCCTTCCTCCCATCAATAACCATCCCTGTCTGTTGTAATATTGATTCTTTTTCAGGTTCAACTATCCCCCTACAATAGAATATAGTCGCCATATAATTTCAACACAAGCATTAATAATGTTTAGAGACAATATCAAAGAAAGAAGGAGGCGTAGCAATTTGAGCTTGTATAGTGAGAAATGAGGCATTAAAGTTGAGGAGTTCATTAACATGGTTTACAAACATTTCAATAAGTTAATCTCTTTGGTAGCAGAACTAAATGTAAACAAAATGTACATAAAAGTCAACTTATAACAGCACATCTCATGGGGGCTGAAGACACCCGAACTAATTT